GAAATAAGGCATATATACACAGGTGGTTAGACTTTCCTGCATTTTGACTGACAGGGTCAAAAAAAATTCCGTCATGATCAGTTTTTACCTGTCACTTTATCTTTTTCAAATGATAATGACTAAACGTTCAATAGAATGAGGCTATCGTCTGGAGGGTTTGCAATTTTTCAGATGACTTCTCGTGGCTGCCTTGATGTTGTTCTGAACCAGGGGCTCCTGCAGGATTTTATCAGAGTATGCACAAAACCATCACCGCACCTCACACAAATACAGGCCACGTAAGCGTGAAAAATAAGCGTGTTCATACACTTCGGTGTGTGTCGAGAACAAGGAACAAACACAGGAATAAGACTTGAATGTTAAATGTAAGAACCAAGGCCATACAAATACCCTGTGGCTAGGCTAAGAGCCTCAGCCATTTATTATCGTGCATTCGCCCCCTGTCAGGATGTTTCAGCTTATAACACCTTCTGGTTCTGGCCAGTCCTTAGAGGCAAGCTGTCACATCGATTGGAGGTTCTCCCTCCCTACCATCATTAACTAATCATATCACAAGAGTACACTCTCAAAACAGACTGTACATCACTAAATCACAAAGATTGGTTAGTTTTCCAAACAAGCTATCAGAACAAACCCTAGTTCTCCTAGAAATAAAACGGTATACGGTATGTGTGATGCATTTAAAAATCAGTAGTAAACAGAATAAATTTCTTTCAAGCGTGATGCGCAGGGTGCCGAAAAACAGCGCATTTGTCCCACACCCAGGGGTGGAGCCAGGGGGTGGCCAGGGGTGGCCATGGCCACAATAGACAAATCTTTGACCACCCCATTGGCCACCCTGCTGGACGCAGCCCTTCCACAGTGAAACAACCTTTAGGGGTGTAATAATCCTCCTGAACAGTTGGTGGCAGTGTTTAACAGTTTGAAGCATCACCAAGCTCTAACACTGAAGAAGAGAAATGACAAGGAAGAGATGATTTTCTTTATATATAGAAYCTATGCCTGTAATCTGACTTATGGGCTGTGTCCAAAACGGCAGGACGGGTCCTCCGAAGGTCGAATTTGTCGGCCGCATACGTCACAGCGCCGCGACGAAGGACGTCCAAAACGGAAGACTCCTCCGATGCGGCCGACAAATTCGACCTTCGGAGGA